GTCTGACCCCCGTTTACTGACCCTGATTACCACAGAATCCAGGCGTGGTTGGTGAGAAGGTCCGAGTTCTAACATGTCTCCCCTCCGCCCCATTTCCTATTACTCTCTCTCTCACTGTCTCTCTCTCTCTCTCTCTCTCTCTCTCTCTCTCTCTCTCTCTCTCTCTCTCTCTCTTGTTCTCCATCTCTCTTACTCTCTCTACACTTTCCCTCTTCTACTCTCTCATTTCCCTCCGATCTTCCTCTCGCTCCCTCTCTCCTTATAACCATGTGCTCTACCACTTCATCGAACCCTACTCATCTACTCATCTACTTATCTATTCATCTTCTCACCTACTCATCTTCTCATCTGCTCATCTACTCGTCAACTCATCTTCTCATCTACTCATCTTCTCATCTGCTCGTCAACTCATCTACTCATCTTCTCATCTACTCATCTATTCATCTTCTCATCTACTCATCTACTCATCTTCTCATCTACTCGTCAACTCATCTACTCATCTTCTCATCTACTCATCTACTCATCTACTTATCGACCTATCGACTCATCTACTCATCTACTCATCTATTCATGTACTCATCGACCTATCGACTCATCTACTCATCTACTCATCTACTCATCTACTCATCTTTTCATCTACTCATCTACTTGTCTGCTAATCTACTCATCTACTCCTTCTTATCCCCAGATATGCGTCCCACGCTGACCGCCACGGTCCCAAAACCGACCTGGTAACTCAACTCAAGGGAAGTCTGGTCACCCCGATGCGGTCAGCTGAGACTGACGTCACGAGACCTGTCTTCAAAGTAGCCGGGGAGAGAAAGCGGTAGTGGTCCTCTGCCAACTGACTCCGGTTTTGCGGTTAACATCAAACGCGTTAACATTTTCAGAAGAAAGGACAAATCGTGTATCTAAAAGCCATGAAGTATCCACCAGCTTTGAATTTTTACGAATCTGAAATAAGAAAGCTGCCATCAACCTGACATCTAATCCCAAATTCCAAAATGAAATAAAATTATGTTATTCGAGAACAACAGTTCTTTTTTGGTTTCAAGTAAGTAATTTAAGTAATTGAGGTCGAGTATTTTGATCATTTGGCTTTGATTGAAGACTGACTGTTTAAGGGGCACAAATTCGTGGTTCGTATAGATTTGTTCAATTGTGTTTTGTTTATGTGAAAGTTGAAAAGGTAGGCCACATTACACATACTATGGAATATAGAAATTTGTGTTTCTTGGTTGTTTACGAGAGTTAGAAATATCCGGCAACAATGACTTTGCTTTGCTGTTGACTGTACCAGTGTGTCCGCCACGCCGTTGAAAAGTTTAGGAAGCAACTGTTTCCACTGAAAGCATACGCTTAATAGGAAAAAACCAAGTGACGTCATGACATCATCGTCGTCACACTACAGATCACACATGTCCTGCTGTTATGTGACGTCAGAATAGAATCCTCTTTATATATATATATATATATATATATATATATATATATATATATATCTATCTATCTATATATATATATATATATATATATATATATATATATATATATATATACATATTAAAAAAACCTATAAGGTTGTCAGAGGTCTGTTAAAGCTACAGAAATTACTACAACATAGAAAGTATGGAAATTAACACAGGTTGTCCATAATAGCACCAAGTAGTGCCTTTTTCTACTTTGGTAGTCCAACAATTAATGTATCTTAAACAAATGTTTTTGATCGTACTGAACACAAACAGTGGAGGAAATGGTACAAATGGAACAGCCGCGAGCCCAAAATCTCGCAAAGTCTCGAAGTCGTTCGTAGGATAGACAAAAATGCGTGTGTACAGCAAAAAAACCACAATTATGCAATTAATAAACTTAAACAAACCATATTAATACTAAATATTATAACCGTTTGTTTTAACGTTTAGAGAGAAAAAAAATAGATCTAGCAGCTGTGTTTTCATGTGTAGGGAGGAAAAAGGAACAGCGGATATTCCGAATTCTATTTTCGGTTTAAACCAAAACATGACCAGAGCCGAGCGAAGTGAGGGAAGATGCCATCTTGAGGTTGGGTCAGGTATGCTAGATCTAAGTCTATATCTAGATCTAGATCTAGACAGATTAAGAAAATGCCATCTCGAGATAGGGTCAGACGCCGATCTCGCCAGATCCAACGGCAAGCAGGTCTAGATCTACCGTTGCAAGATAATATAGATCTAAATCTTGATCAAAATCGTAGGCATGATCAAGCTAATCGACAACAGCGTCCCCCAGCTATAGATGAGAGCGCAGACAATTCGCTTCCACTTCACGAACTTTCCAGAATGACATTAATTTGTCGATTTTGCAATGCAAAAAGGTTTCAGAAAGAAAATAAGTCTATTTGCTGCTTGAATGCGCAGGTGAATTTGCCACCTTTACCCCCGCCTCCGACAATTCTGAAGGATTTTCTTACTCAAAACATCGCTGAGGCAAAACATTTTAGGAAAAACATAAGAGCTTTCAATTCAAGTCTGGCCTTTGTTGTTATGTATACTGTCAACATGCAACTATGTCAGAATCACCGCACCATCAGTCTTATAAGCCACCCCAGTAAGGTTATGTTGAAGATAATGCTGAACAGATTGAAACCACAGGCAGAGAAGATCATTGCCGAAGAGCAGGCAGGCTTTAGAGCAGGGCGCAGCACAACAGAACAGATCTTCAACCTAAGAATACTGTGCGAGAGGTACCTCCAACACCAACAAATCCTATACCATATCTTTGTGGATTATTAAAAGGCC